TCAGTGCTCAGCCCAGCGAGGGAGGAGGGGAGAGAGGTGGCATGGATGATGCGGGTGGGGAGGGAGAGGAGGGGATGATGGAGGAGACGGGCGAGCGGGCCCTAGATTTCGTGAGACAAGTTCGTGAGGTGGAGCGAGAGATGGATGCCGGGCAGGCTATGGCAGAGGAGGATAGTGGTGGGCAGGTGAACTTAGATATCGATTAAGGTGTATTTGTGTGGTGAGCGGCTGTCTCTGCATGAGTCATGTGTGTTTTTGGACATTCCATCACTCAATCTGTCGATAGCTCGTCGCATTCCATCACTCAGTCGCCAGTGAATCAATCCTGTTTGTCTGTCTCGCCCAAGCAACGCTCAAGCACTTGCTTTGCTCGCTCTCCTCATCCTCGCCGCCGGCCGGATTGCTTTTTTCTTCTTTTTTCCGGGCCGAGCTCGACGCCAGGCGAGTCAGGTGGCCTGCTGCGATGCCCTGGTGACTCAGACGGACAAGCAGAAGGCGTGTGAATTGCCTCGGATAAATGGGACAACGGATAAATGGGAAAAACGCTAAATGGGACACCCTGGGCCGTTTCCCACTTGTCCGAGGCCCACTGTACAGGAGGGTCAGTTGAGTCATCTGAGGCATCTGATGACATTCATCCAGCCCACACGTTTGTGCGGGGCTGATGTCACCGGCCAGTCTCCCTAGCCCTTCACTCCCCTCCGCTTACACCCAACGACTCACCCACCCACCCACCCATCGCGCGAGCGCTGCGATTTGATGATCATTTCGACTGATGCATTCACGCTGCAGGCGGCGGGGCGGCATGATTATGTGATTTGCTTGCTGTCATGCCTGTTGTTCACGCCTTTTGTGCCGTCATGGGCCCACTGGCATGCAAACTAGCTTGTGGAGATCAACGGTGAGTCAGACACGGAGACACCAAAGGGCTTCGCAGCCACTCGCACCCATAGCGAGTGAATGGATGGGTTTTCGTTGTTTCAGAGTCGTTCTGAGCGAGGGAAAGAGAGTCAATGTGATGGAAAACGGCTGTGGTGAGTCATTCACGGCGAGATCCCCAGCATGAAACAAGGAGAAGATAGACCAATCACTCGCTTGCGAGTATAAGCCAACCAAAAGTCTAGGCAATCAGCCCTACTGACCGCATTCATGTGTTGCGGGAATGCATCTTCATGCGTCGTTCGATGAGTTCGATCACATAGCACAAAAGTCCGTTTCACTCTGAGAGAAAGTCCGTTTGCCAAGAAAGCGAATTCCTCCCTGCATTCCGAGTAAGGGGAACCCACTGCGTGGGCAAGTCGCTTGTATTGTGGGCGGGGATCGAAAGCCGCGTACGAAGTGGTGGTCCAATTATGCGTCAGAGAGGCGTGCACAGCACGAGTGTTGGCGAGAAGCCAACACTCGTGCTTGGACCACTTACACCGGCTTCCCATTACACCGGCTTGGAAGGGCAGCTGGGCATCTACTACGGCAACAAATCCCACGGAGTCCTGCAGAGCTTCCAGGTGAGCCTGCAGCCCTCCCGTGCCTGGGGAGGCGATGCGGAACACGTTCCCCTCGTGATCGCTGCATCAACGGTTGAAGGCCGTCTTGCTTCAAGGCAGCAAACATGCCAGGTCAGAGAGCGAAGACAGCCGCAGAAGCAGTCAAACTTAGTCAAACTCTAGCGCATTTTGCACATGGTCAGGAAGTGAACGTGAAATGTCGTTGTCCGTTTCAAGGCAGCCCACTGATGGAGATTCAGTTTCTGTGGGCAACTTGGCAGCCAGGGTGTACCGTAGAGAGTTATGTTTTGCCTGGTTTCGTCAGGCTTCCTGATAATACCCCACGGACACTGCACTTGAAGCTTCCAGTCGTCGTATCGAAATTCATGGTAAAAAGAAGACCATGAACAACATCTGAGCCACGTGATGTCCCAACAACTGACCAGGAGAGGCGCACGTTCTCAGCCCAAGATTTCTTCTCTCTTTGGCGAAACGAGAGTTTCATCTTACACGAAGGTAAGTGACACAGTAGGGTGGTGTGTCTCCATATCGGTCTCTCGTGCCGTGTCAGTCACTTCTATTGTTGATCTGGCACATCGGCTTCGGGGCTCCTTGATACATCTCGCACGCTGCGTTCAGCTGGTAAAATGTTTGTCAGCTGTTCCTGTCTCCCGAAGTGATGTCAACTGTATTCAGGGAGGAGCCTTGGAGCTTCTCACAGGGCTTGATGCGAATCCTGACAACCTGGTATGAGGCACAGGGAATGTGTGTATGCATCTTGGTCCGCGTGATACCGTTCAGGTTCTTGCTGGTGTCTTCGCATCCCGTGAAAGTGGAGTTGAGCATGTCAAACCTGCGTTTGCTCCGTCCGTTGTGCTCACCCGGTACGAGCAAGTATTGATTTTTGCGCATGAACTTGGGGATCTTTGGTCAGGATTGAGCTTGGCACGGGGAGGCACAGGGGGAAGATACGCATCGCGGTCCGCTCGGACTCGCATCTCTTGGCCCAAGCTGTCAGACAGCTGATCATCCTACAGGCCTGTTGAAGCTGCTTGTGATGGTTGTAAGGATATAACGTGAACTGGGAGAAGTTGTATCGTTTCACCAAGAAGAAGAACACGTGAGTCAGGGCTGGCCGATTGACAAATCCTAGCATCGTGAGACTGACCCAACGTTCAGCACTCACGTGAGGTGAGCACCCTCACTTCAGTCGGCCACACTTCCGGCATTGTTCACCAACCATTGTTACCGCGATCTCTGTTGTCACAGCACGACCGCCATACATCCAAAGCACGCCACTCACGGACCGGCGTAAACAGTAACTTCCGTTACCGCCGGGTCATGTCCACACATGAGCTTGTCTCTCCTCCTTTTGGTTCTCCCCGCATTCACAACCGATGGCCTTTTACTCGCGAAAATGTCTCTGACGATGAAGGGGCGAAGTTTCAGACCACATCATAAATCAGCGTATGTCACGCCAACTCTATTTCTCCTTCTTGCAGCTGCAATGTGCGACATTACTTCTCCCACCTTTGCTCCTCGCTCCTTCCTCTCTTTACCCTACCATACAAAGAAATGACTGTACCGATAGTTCGTTCATGCGAAGGCAAGGCGCGGTGCAGCCGAGCAAGTCTAGCCACCTTCATCGATTCTGGCCGAACTTGCCGCCGAAGATGTCCGAAGCGCCATGACAAGTCAGCAGATCTGCACTGTCTGGACTAGAGACACGTGGATCGTGGACCGACAGACGAACCGTTCAAGCGCTCTCCGTATCTCTTGCACCACATCCATAGCATATCATTGCACACACGTGACCGTGTCGCTTGTATGTGCTATCAAATCAAGCAATACACTTTCGCGCGAGCCGCACGCAGTCATCCCGTCCATTGGTGACGCGCGGACCGCCCATTCGCGGTTCACACACATCTCTGGCTGAGCCGACCGGAAACGGTCACTTATGCCTCCTCTCGACTGCCCGCCCACACAGATAAACGAGTTTGGAGGGACCACGAGGGGGTTAGGAGAAGAAGAAGCGACATGACCATGAAAAAACCTCCATGACTGAACGCGTCACCACATCACGTCACGACCGAACGACACATCCGCAGTTCTTTTCCTCTGTGTTTTTCACACTTTCTCTTTTTCCACGGCTGTCCACATGACCACCAGCCCGTCGCCAGGCAGGAGCCTGACATCTTCCAACTGCCGCCACTCCTTCCCCTTCCCCCAGGTCTCTACTCGCTGCACCATCCCCTCATTGTCACTATCGTCACTAGACAAAGCAACCATCTCGTATGTCTTGCTTTCATTCAGGAAGTCAACGCGTATAGCATCGAGTGTCACCCGCTCGTCTTGCCCGTTGATTACTGCGAGGAACCACGTGTCGGTCGCATCGTCGTTGGTCTTGCGTGCCATAACGACGAGCTCGCCGATGCTGCTGGGTGGGAGGGCGTGGGTGGTGTGCCATGTGGTGGGGATGGCCTTGATGACGTCCAGAGCGGCAGCGTGGGGCTTGTCCTTGTCCAATAGGTAATGGGGATCCTCGGCTATGGTCTGCAGCGGCGAGTCGAACACGACCAGCAACGCTATCTGATGCACCTGCACACACCCATCCCCCCCCTTCGATAGGATTGTGTGAAAGAGGATAGTTCCCAGCTGCGTGTGAGGCTGACTATGGTTGTGCTGCCCCTCATTTCCGGTTTGAGGGCCATCGGTGTGTAGTCGGCGCCGCCGACGACAAACCGTGTGAAGGGGAGTATGGCGTTGTGGCGTGCCGTGATGGGCATGATTCCCAGCTTGGTAGGGCTTTTAAAATATTTACCATGGAGGAAATGCATAATCTCCATACCCCACACAGCCTCACGCGTCAACTGCCATGCCGCATACAGACGAGCAGGTGAGTGGACAATTGTGTGTGTATTTGTGTGTGTACGTGGTTTGGGTATCTTCGTGTCGCTCCGCTGGGCTTCCGGCAGCCGTGGATATTTACCACCAGCTCCAGCTCGGCACTCATCTCCATTAATGCCGTCTCGAATTGAACCTTATCTACACAGAGAGACAGAGACACGCCACGTGATATTGCGAGACCGCGGTATGTCTCTCCTTGCCCTGCGCATTCACCCTCGGTCTCGCCATGCACGTAATCTACTTTGACACCGCTGGCACCGACAGCCTTAAGGCGGTTTAGGAAGTTGCGCAGATTGGTAAAGCCCCGATCGTGGCCCGGGTCAAGTATCCTGTCTCTGTCAGACGAGCTCTGAGAAAGACACCAATATTCTGGTGTCGGGGCGGTGTTACCACCACTGACCTTCCACACAATGGCTTTCACGCCTCTGTCGTTGGCGTATTCGATGACGTCCGCAAGCAGGGTGTATGAATCCTGCCTGGTGGTGAAGTTGGGCCAGCTGAATACAGGCATCTCGTCGGGCCAGCTGGGTGCATGCCACAGGCCGTTCGGAGCTTTGCGACGGATCAGAAAATCATCATCACTGCACGGACACAGACACAGACAGATGGATTGTGTGGTTAAGGGGTTTGGCGCCGTGTAACACCCATCATCTCGTGGTGCGCTCCACTGCAGCCAACAGCAGTCAACGGTGGTGTACTCGAAGCCCAGCTCGGCCGCAGCGTCGATATAGCGCTTTTCACCCTCAGGCGTGGTCTGTTCGAATCCATGGCCCTTCGTCCACTTCGCGTTGATCCATTGCTACACAGATCGCCCGGGCACCACCCATGATGGAAGGCCCCATTGATTCTGATCGTCCCGTGCTCCTGCGGGGAAAAGGTCTGCCGAAGGAGCGGGGTTAAGGTGTGAGATCATTTCGTTGTTGACCAGCACGTTGAGGTTGGACGCCAGCATGATGACGCGCCAGGGGGAATGGGTCAGGCCGTCCTCCTTGCTCCTGGACGGCGCGGGAAAGGTCGCCTCGCTGAACCTCATGCGAAAGGTGCGGTCGGGAAGTGCCTCGATGCGCATGCCGGAGAAGTCATAGAGTGCCGCCTCGGTGATCAAAGCGTATTGGATGCCCTCGCTGCTCCAGCCGTCGCTCTCAGGGTCCAAATCAAAAAGGAGAGGGGCGCCGTACAAGTGGCCGATTTTCTTGTGGCGTGTAGCGAGACTGTCCACGGGCGAATGCAAATACTCACCTGCATATGTGCAATGGGTACACATGGAAGCGTGGGTGCATTGTATTATGTATTTGCCTACCAGCGTATGACTTGAGCTCGAACTGCTGACGGCCATCTGTCCTCTCAAAGTGCCACACATAGGTGCCATCTACAGACACACCAAGCCATCGTCACCATGCCGTGCCCACACACAGATGACAGATGTGTTCTCACACACGCACCAGGCATCACAAATTCCGTGTCCTCCTTGCTAATCAGGTCCTCTTGGCTTCCGTCCCACGAGTATCTGAACGCCGCCCCGTCGTTGAATAGCCGCACATTGAGGTACCACGTGATGTTGCTCTCCAGGTGCTGCACAGGGAATGTGTAGTTCATGGCGTGGCTGGTCACCTTACGGTGCTCGCCCATCTTCACGTACGCCTCTTCTATCTCCTCCACGGGAAGCTCGTGCATTTCCACTCCTCGGCCCAAGTCCGTGCCGTTGACCGTGAGGCCCAGCGCCGAAGCCTCGACAATCTCTGCGCCCGTCGCCTTGTCCGTTATCTTGTACATGAGTTGATTGCGCCGTTCATCATTGTCGCCTCCATTCTCCGATACAAACACGGTGAACACATAGGCTGCCGGGGCGCCATCCTCGAGACCATCTGTACTGTGCGGCGATGGCGGGGTGATGTCCCTTGACGCAATAGGGACGGATGCAATTTGATGGCATGATGATATGGCCACGGAAACCAGCATAACAGCCCGCCAGTCCATCGTCGCAAGGGAGCTGGGTGTGCATGACATTACAGAACGTAACGAGAAGTTCTAAATGACAGCCCGAGCAAAATACACAGCCACAACAACCGTTAGGCCCTCGCCGAGAAAGAAGTCAAGCGGATCGGCACGAGGAGTCCATCAAGAATGCAAATTAAGAACTGCACTACAATTCAGTCACTGATCTGTCCTACCACCCACCGAGTCCGTCACGGATCATCAATCCTTGAGTGCATATAATGATGAAATTTCCCTCGTCCGTCGGGCTGGCGGGACTCGCTACGTTCCTTGCCGCGTCGCGAAATGCATGCAAAGCCCCCAAGCTCGCAAAAAAGACGGTACCGAGTGAAAAAATCTCGCCTTCTTGAGGTTTTCTTCTTCTGCTGGGTCAATTCCCATCATTTTCAGAGCAGATAGCAGCTGCTCGGTGTTCCGCCACGCTACCTCCTCGTCGCTGATCGCAGCAGCCTGCTTCGCAAGCCCCCATGCGGACAAGATGCAGACCAACGCAACGAAGATTAGAGTCGGTAGGTAGGTAGTTGTGTTTAACGAGCCTCGTGGCAGCGCGAGCGAGTTTGCGGCGGGCTCTTCCTGTCGCCATCCAGTTTTTCTGCTCCGTGTCAAGATCTGCTTTGTGATATGTGTGGAGGGGGTCACTGCGAGGAACGAGTTTGCTTCGAGCTTCAAATTCGTTCACGCGTCCGCGCGAAAAACGCCGGCAAAACCCGGAAAATCGGTTTCTGGCTGTTTTCTCTCGGGTTTCTGGTGCGTTTGACGCGTAAGTCTGTTTGTGAGTGCTCCTTCGTCTGCTCTGTCCTCACGCAAGCGGCCATCGCTGTGCCTTACGTCAAACACGAGAACCAGCCACCGAAAGTTGACGGTGCCGTCAACCCAAATCAGCACAATTGTGTTAATGCATGATACATTTCGCTACGCTGTCTTCACACGCAAGCGCGCATCGCTTCTCGTTCCTATAAAGAAGAACCAGTCACTGAAAGTTTACACAGCCACGAACCATCAGCCACGCAATTTATCATCCACGACACACTGCTCTACGCTCTGTTCGCACGCAAGCGGCCGTCGCTTCTCGACCCGCAAAGGAGACCATAGCCACTGAAAACTTGCTCACCGCTAACTCAACCGCAATCTCCTTGCACACGCTTTAAGGTCTGGTTGATGAAATACATGCGCACGGACACTGCGAGAGACGAGTTTGCTTCCCATTGCATTGCAATTGGCGCAAAATGTGTGCTTCTCGCTGGCGAGGGACCAGTGTGCGAACACTGGTGTCGGTTACATTCATTCATTCGAGAGTCCTCATGAACACACCAGGCATTCATTCGGACGATGCAAGCAGCACTGCAGGACACCCTGCAATGACCAGGGCGGCGAGTCCGGCTCACCAAGGTTTCCCTTGGCTATCCCTGGGTTTCACATGCCCCGTATTTTAGAAGCGCGGGGGAAAAGCGCCCTGCCCCTGTTTGATATCCCGTCGGGCGACGGCTGGCTGGTTGTGCGCGGGTGTGTGTGGGTGTGTGTGTGGTGTGTGTGTGGTGTGTGTGTGGGGTGTGTGTGGGTGTGTGTGTGTGGGTGTGTGTGTGCGTGTGCCTGTGTGTGAGGTTGTGTGGGGGTGCGCGTGGTGTTCAGGTTTCTGTCTGCCCCCTTCCCCCCCTTTCCCCCCCTCCCCCTCTGCCGATTTTCCTTCTGTCAAGTTTTCATCCCTCGGGTGCGTTCTTGTATTCTGTCCACGGTTTGGTCCCACCCATCCACTCCCGTGTCATGCGGTGTTCGTGTTGGCAGTTACATGTGGCGGGTGCTGTGGTGTGGCTTTGTCCGTGCCTATCTGCCTGTCCGTTTGCCTGTCTGCCTGACTTATACGTGCGGGTCAGTCAAAAGCAAAAGGTGTCGGAAAAGGAATGGCCGCGGTCTCAGCCATGTCGTCAGACAAACAGACAGTCAGACAGACAGACAGACAGTCAGGCAGACAGACAATCAGGCAGTCAGGCAGACAGTCAGCCACGCAGGTAGTCGCCCATGTCCCTTGTGCGACGTGTGTTTCCCTCCCCCCGACATACATGCCGGTCAGCCCCGCATCCAACCTCTAAAGTTGCAGGCAGTCAGATCGTCGCTCGTGCACATGCATTCCAGAGGCACGCGTGCATCCAGTCAATCACTACAGGTACAGGCAGGTTGGTGCCACGTCAGTCCATGTGTGCATGCAAAAGGATGGGTCAGCCGGACGCGCTACGGATTGGTCCTCTCTGTGTGGCTGTGTGTCGTGTCGTGCCCTCAAGAGGTAGTCGGGTACATGAGCCATCCATTCATTCCACAGTAGAGCGAGAGCATAGCATACGTGGGCATACCCAGACCGATCACATCCATGCCATGCACCTCCACGCCCCACAGAGCATAACCATCCATTCACCCCAGCCCATCCAAGCCATAATTAGTTGACACACCCCAGCCCATCCAAGCCATGCAGGTAGGTACGCAAGCACGCCCACGAGAGGGGGGGGGCAGGCAGGCATATGCGGTGCTTCGTTCTTAGTGTCGCCTGTCTACACGGCCGGACAAGAGGTCATCCTCTCCCTCCATCCCTCTATCTAGTTGTCTCCCCCTCCATCTCTATCTCTAGCCATCGTTCGGGGGCGATGGGGCAGCGTCCGATCCCTCCAGCCCCGCAGCCCTCGGCTCTCCGCTGTCCTTCTCCGCCGCGGCTGTGGGTTCCTCGCCCCCTCCTGCCGCAGCGCTGGCCTGGTCGTCCGCCGAGTGTCCGCCAGTGCTCTGCTGCTGTTGCTTCTTCTTCCCAAAATCCACTACCGCCGCCGTCAGCGACTCCCCCTCCAGTTCCTGGGGCTTCTGCTCAGGCTGGGCTGCCCGTTGCTGGGAGAGTGTGGCAGTCTGCCGGGCCGTCGCGCCTGGCGGCATGCCATAGAGGGCGTACGGCGGGTAGCCACCCCACCACTGCTGTGCTGCGGCCGGGGTGGGGGCGTGTTGTCCAGGGGGCGCCTGGTGGTTGTGGGTGGTAGTGTTCATGCCCTCACCCCCAGCCACGCCCATCCCCGTCCCGTCCGCCCCCATCATGCCCATCCATGGCATGTACCAATACATCGGCACCACCCCCTGTTGCTGCTGCTGCGCCTCGTTGCGGGCCTTCTGCCGTCTCTCCCCGTCCTCCGTCTCGCCC